GGAACCTATATTCGGTATTTCTCGAGAACTAAAGCTTGTAGATAGCTGGAAATTTACGTTTGTACTTCTACAGGCTTGTGGTATACAACTACCTATGTGGGGAGGGCACAGCATCACTTTGGCAAATGCATGAAAATTTCCGTTTTCTTAGTTTTTAATAGAGAAAAAAATACGGCAACGGCGTATGTTGATGTTTCATGTGGATAGTGTTTGCGTGAACAAGTTAGAATTTTTGTAGGATTTTTATGAACTGAGTTACGATTTTTTTCGATTTTTCGGGCTGCTGAGTCTTTTTAGTTTTTGGCTCGAAACTCGAGATGGATTAGAGCTGTTGCAAAAGCAAGATGGCCATCTTGTAGAGCTTGCTTTGCTTTATCGAATGATACTTTGCAACCTATTTAGAAGTGAAGAGTATATAACTTACTGCGGTTGAAATACAAAACGGGCATTAATTTCCGGACAACCTAATACATTGCACTTAAGAGAAGCCTTTGTATGCATTTTATCAGAAGTCTTATGATGACCAGAGAAGAGGCGGAAGTCGAGGAACCACCCCTGCATGAAAAGTTCCTCCGGACGACCAAGACGACTAAGTTGGGAACTTGGTTCCATGATAGCTCAATTTTCGAACTCGAAAAGAACAGTTGCTTTCAAATTGAAAAAATTGAGCATTAACCAAAACCACTCTGGTCCCACATCTAAATCTGAACTTTAGCTTTGACAAAAATTGTCTGAAAAGCCGCATTATCAGTTCTACGGTAGTACCATCGAACTTCGAGAAAGTGAGTTTTTTCTTTTTCATTTTGTACACCGAGATACAGCAAAATTGATGTCGCTACTACTAAATTGAACGAAACAGTAAACCAGAAAAATTACAATCTTAAAAAATGGTACAAAGCTTACGGACAATCCAACTCGACAGTTAAACCCGTGAGAGAGAAGATGTGACAATTTACGACAGTTTCTGGTGCAGATGCTCTATTGTTTTCAGTTCTAATTCCAAACAAATTTTTAGAAAGACGAAATTTTTCAATATAACAAATGTTTTGTTAATGCTATGCTTACCAACACTCTGAATGCCTGCAGTCATTTCCTTCCCCACCTATAAAAAGCAGGAATTTCGAAATATGCGGGAAGGTTGATTTCAAGGTTGCTGATATTGCAGCAGCACTATATTGGATCATGAGTTTGTAGTGACTTTCAAATAAGAGTAAAGGTTGATTTCTTGTTTTGTTATATTTCTTCATTCTAGCAAGACAGGCAATCTATGCCTTCAAGGAATATACATATTAAAACCTGAAAAGGTTCAATCCTACAGCAAGAAGGAACAGCGGTGCAGTGACCAAATGGAATGAGTGTTCGGAAGTTGAGTGATTATCGAACACTGTTATATGATCTCTGAAGCCTGAGCAGCATCAACAAATCTTTATCATTAAGAACACTGAAAATTATTTGAAAAATAGAATGAATCTGTTGTATAGATGGGAACTAAGCTTGATTGCGCATGCTTCCACCGGTATAAGTGCGTGCTAGCGAGTACACAAAGCTAAAACCTAGCATTGTAGGGACCTGTTCAAGAATACAGAGCGAGAAAATAAAAGTGCGATCAAACATATGTTTGTAATTCTAGTGATAAGAAGTATTCGGAGATGTGCACCCTAACATAAGTATAGAAGGACGTAGCGTCAAGAATCTCTTTGCGAATCCGACCGACCTTTGTAAGTTCTGTGATTTTGGGAACAGCGCTAGTAATGCCCACGATCTTTTCCATAAAGCTGACTTCATTTTCAAAGTTGGAGCACCTTACTTATTCACAGAAATAAATAAAAACAGCTCTCTAACGAATCTATACTACCCGAAACCACTGGCGGCGAAAAGAGGGAGGGGATGGAAGGAGTCTTGCTGGTCAACTATCATCAAGCTCATTGCCAAATGTAAAGGTCAACCACTTTTGAGTGACGAGCCCAGCCGAAGGTAGAGGTTCTCCGATTTTCGAATTGCAAAAGGGTTTAATGTTTTTGTTTTAGTCCTTTACGTTCTAATAATTATTCGGTTAATACCTTGTATCGCCGAGATAAGCCAAAAGCAGTGGCGACCGATCCCCACAGGATAGTCCAAAATTTTGTGATGGTTTGAGTCTAAGATCTGTGCTGACTCATTTTTACTCGGAAAAATGAAAAATTTATTTTTACTCAGATTATTCTGAAAGAATTTTCCAGGTCTGTAGATTTCTGAAGGCAAAACAAAATAAAGGCAAAGAGCAACTCCTAAAGCAAATGGAACAGGAGATAGACGGATATTAACGCAGTGACTGCGAATGGCTGTCATGAGCGTTTCGATTATATCGAGCAACATGATCTTTGTAGCGCTAAGACCAGTTTCGACTGGTAACTTCATTATTGTACTCAGCTTACTTCGAAAAACTTTGGATTTATGTAGGGCAAGTACTTGCGTTACTCGACTTTCGAAAATTTTCTGTTTCCCTTTTTACTTCTATCAATCATTTCTTTGTTGTATGATTTTCTGTAAAAAAACACCTGATCGTAGCAGAACACGAGAGCTTTTGCAATTTCCATGATTCGAAGCTTGCTATCATTGAACATCAATGCAAGATACTAAATTTATATCCTGAATAATGGACTGTGTGATAATTCTGGTGTGCTCAAGCGCTACAAGAATAAGAAAGCAAAAGACTTCCTCGACTAAACAATCACAAATGTAAAGCTAATTCAAGAAATCTAAAATAAACTACATCTAGCAGGTTCTATCCCAGTGCTGCTCTCTAGACTTGATTAGCTAAGATAAATATCGTAAGAAATTGGGAAAGTTTGGGCGCACTGCAGAGCACTACAGAAATAGTGATAACCAGGGTCAAGCGTGGGATGCGGCACGCCACACCTGGGGGGTCGTATTGAGGAGTCAAAGGGGGAGGGGGTCGTAGTTGGGTAATCTGATAATAGTGATAACATGATATTCGTATCATATCCATAATTATGTCAATCAACCCTTGTAGACAAAGTGTGAGCGAATTCTAAAGATTCAAGATACTAGGCTACCTAAATGAAATGATCAAATTTCAACATGGTTAACTTTGTTTCAAAGGTAAATTAGCTATCCGCTTTTGCACTCAAGACAAAGCAGTACTCCTTCTTTGTCCACCTCAGGAATCCCGCTTCAGAAGACCTGCAAACTGTGGAATTAGAAGCCAACCAAAATCTCGTTTTTCCCATTTTTCGCTTTTGATCGCTGTGCTTTCACCAAATATTACTTAGAGCTAAGAAGACAAATCAGGCTCCAAACAGTTCTATGGAATCTACAAGGTTCAGGCTATTGATTCATATAAATACTGTCCGAAATGTTTTTTTTTTTGATATAGTTAATGGGTGCGGGACACCCCCTTAAAAGCTGCGGTTGCCGCAGCTTTTGAAGGCACCGTCCACCCTAAGTTGAGGATGTTGAGCTTTTGGCAGCATATAACAGTAGGGCCTCCTATCAAGCCAATGCCCAAGTCACGGCGCAATATGTCGCTTCGGAAGCGAGAAAATCGCTTCGGAATAGCGAAGATGCACAGGACCCCTATCCATGCCCGCCCCTCCCCATCCATGCCCGCCCATTTGTGCGCGCTCATCCAATCACCGTTCTGGAAAGCCTGCCTGTGGGTTCTCCGGAATGGGGATTGTCGGGGTTTTCGCGGATTCTCGTCTTCATATTTGGAATCAGGGACATGAGAAGGCCTTAGAACGACAAAAACCTGGAAGTCGAGAATCTGGGTGGACGGTGCCTTTAAGGGGGTGTGCCGCACCCCCTTAACTTGCCTTCAAAATCCAGAAAGCGCTCCATTGCTGGTATGAGTATTGAGCACATAGCTTCTTCTTACTACATTGGAAATTTGGAGCCGAACCCATAAGAAGATTATGGCCATTTCAATATGCCCATTCAGATCAAAATCAGCCGTCAAATTACGTGTATTGTAAAGTGCAGTCACAGAAAATCGGGCGTACAGCTCTCAGAAATCTGAAAACTCTCTAGAAAAAGATGGTGTCCTCCAGAATGTCACACTTTGAGGTCCAGAGGTTAAGAGGAGGAAGAAAGGGTCGTTTGAAGGCTTTCATGGGAAGGGGGGTTGTTCGAAAGACTTGTGCCTGACCTCTTTCTCAACTCTGGTAATGCTATCTTAGGTATATAGTTCAGGGGGGGGGGGGGTCTTATTGAGACAGCAATCAGGGGGGGGGGGTCGTAACCAGCGATCGTGTGCCACACCCTTTGCTTGACCCTGGTGATAACCTTAGGTTGATAGAATGAGGTCGAGCAACAGTGTGGCACACAATTGCCGCATACGCCTCCCCCCCTCCCCACCATCAACATTACTGTTTATCCACCGTAAGCATGTAGAAGTCTTATCAAGCATGACGAGTAACATATTCTAATCAGGAAGTTTCGCATACAGAACCGCCCAAGTTGGTCATTCTCGAGAAGGATCCATTTTGTAAAGTTGAATAGCTTCTCTATACTTGTGGTACGGTACTTTTTCTATATTGATCAGGTTAGTGTAAGATTTTTCAATTTACTTGGTTTGTTTACTAAGCAAAGTAGGACCGTCCAGAACTCAAAACAACCCTCCGCAAGGTTCTAGCTTGATCCAGCGGTGAAGAAGGGAAAGCAGTTATTCGCTCCGTCTGTGCATCTAATTGAAGGTCATCTTTACAATATAGCTTGATGGCCGTGAAAGCTTTTCAACAAGTTAAGAAAGAACAAACGTTCTGTTTATTTCCGGGACACCCCGTGTTTCATGCGGTCAACTTGCTCTTTTTTCAAATATTCTATAAACCCCGAGACAATCCGTATTTCGTGCCGTCAATTGCTTTTTTTGAACATTCTAAAAATCCCGAGACACCCCGCATTTCATGCGGACAACTTGCTTTTTTTGAACATTTTGCTACATTTCTGCACTTTCTTGGCCCATGCTGCAGTTTCTTCTGCGAATGTAAGTCGAAGTGGTAATGTTATCATTTTCATTCTCTGTGATCGGAATCACTAACATTGCCGCAAGATCTCATGTCACTCTTATCAATTTCGTATTGATTAAAGGAACAGAGTGGGTGGGCAAAATGACGGGGCACCATTGTTTGGCTTGTACCCCCGGACAAATGGCAAGTTCTCGTTCCTTTATTGTAAACAGCTGCTTAGTCTACAGCAAGAAGTAGCTCAGTGCAGCTGCACTCGAAGTGGGCGAGGAGCCAAACGTACGGAGAATTTTGCCAGTTTTTCATACTCTCTCAGTTTAGAGTGCTGACGGATCGTGGAATATTCATTATCTTCCGTTGAAGTTGCAACACCCAGTCCCATCTGACATCGCCATATCTCGAAGTCAAAATCCAAAGGATATCGAGCAGGTACAATGATAGTTAGTCATTACGTTTGTAGGTCTTATTGAACATCTTTTTCATACTTAGCATTTGCTATGGTAACTCCGTCTTCAGCACCATAATGTTGAGCAGACTTTTCTTCAGCAACTCTCCATGAAACCTACATTATTGATCTCGTTTAGTTCCCACTTTATATAACCCACAAATAGTAAAACTGAAGTTGATAGCGCTCATTCGTATTATTTTGCAATAGTACTACATCTCTGCCATTACATTGCTTATCGGCGCTAACAAAAACTCGTGCTCGACGTGGCATTATCTCTATGCTCAGACAGTCGATGGGATACCTCCGGAGCAGAAGTGGCAGGGTCGCGGGCTTTTCCAGCGGAGGATTGCCACTTCGCGCTCCGGAGCCCTGCCATTTCACGCATTTTTGTGCTCCGGGGCTCTCCCAAAAGTGGCGCACCTCCGGAGCAGAGATTTGCGCGTCGCGGAAGGGGGTCCCATTCGTCCTATTTGTGACGTCACCGTGACTCACGATGAATGAATGGGACCCGGCGCAAACCTCTGCTCCGGAAGTGCGCCACTTTTGGGAGAGCCCCGTAGCACAAAAATGCGTGAAATGGTAGGGCTCCGGAGCGCGAAGTGGCAGACTCGCGCCATATGCCCGCCGGAGGTATCCCTTCGACTGTCTGAGTGGGTTCAGCCTTAAATTTTGTAATTTCTTTGATTCTCAAGATTTCTACGAAACTGTGATTTTTGTTATTTGGTAAGCGCGAAACTTCAAAGACGAATGAGTACAGCTTTCTACCTCGCGCAGAATGGAAGGTGTTGCGACAAAAGGCAATTCATGTATGGAAGAAAGAAGACGGTAGAGCGGCAAGGGTGTACGAGAGGAGGAGACATGCGCGTTGTTCTGCCTCATCATTATCAGAGAAAGTAAGTAACGTCGAAAGAGCTCCGCCCGATGCGGGCAACTTAAACCCCTACACTACTGTATGTACCAGTTCGCGCGCTAAGCCTATGCTGACAGATCGCTCACTACCCTTGCATTCACTGCACAGGCGGAAATTTCCGAAGAATTCCAGAAGCAATCAAAGGATTCGCAGGAAACAAAAAAACCAATCACAGGAACTGCAGAAATTACGGGAGTTCTGAGATATTACGGAAGAAGTGTGACCGAAGTCTATCATACGCTGGGCGACTGTTTAAATTCATCCATTCACCGTAAATCTCAAACTGCCTTTTGATGGCCGTCAAGCTCGTCGAAAGCGTACGCGCACAGCAAGCAATCCGAACGTTGCGAAAATCTGAAGATGATAAGAGTACAAGTAACTCTGAGGGACGCGAGTGGAAAAAAGGAACAGCTAGATACAGTTTTGATTTTGTCGCATTAATCAGTAAGGAAATGGAGTGGATTGTCCAAAGTTTGTGTACCAAATCAGGCGCGGCTACCAAAATTTTGTATGTTGCAGCTTGCACATGAAATTGGCATCTTGCCGGAGGAGTTGGATCCTTATGGCAGGAAGAAGGCTAAGGTTTCTCTAAACGTGTTGCAGAGACTGAAAAATGTGAGGGATGGGAAGTATGTTGTAGTGGCTGGTAAGCACCTCACCGATTTTGTTGTTGGGGCGTATTTATCACATATTCAACTTTGCAACAAGCTATATCTGTCACGGTTTGTTTAGGCATCACACCCACTCCATTAGGAGAAGGAAAATCCACAACTGTGCTTGGTCTCGTTCAAGCGCTAGGAGCCAAGCTCCGCAAGAACGTGTTCGCATGCGTTCGTCAACCCTCGCAGGGTCCTACATTCGGTATCAAAGGCGGAGCTGCTGGTGGAGGCTACGCACAGGTAGTAAATATGAACCCATCCATCTGATTTTTCCTGGACTGGACCTTGATGTTAGGTAATTCCAATGGAAGAGTTTAATCTTCATTTGACTGGTGATATACACGCCATTACCGCTGCCAATAATCTTCTGGCGGCTGCCATCGATGCCCGAATGTTCCACGAATCCACCCAGAAAGATGATGCTTTGTTCAATCGTCTGTGCCCAGCCAACAAACAAGGTAATTCATCGAAGGGGCTTTCTAATTCTATCATCATTCGAAAACATCCCATCTCCATTACATCAGGGATACGCCCGCTTTCGGCCGTACAGAAGCGTCGTCTTGTCCGAATGGGACTTCCAAACATTGAAGATGCTAACCAGTTAACTCCAGAACAACGTGTAAAGTTTAGTCGACTTAACATTGACCCTAACACAATTACTTGGAATCGTGTGATTGATACCAACGATCGTTTTCTTCGAGGTAAGTTTGAAGTTCTTTTATCTTGCGGGCTCTATGATTAGCTTAGGGATCGAGATCGGCCTTGGTCCTAGCGAGAAGGGACATACCAGAAAAACACAGTTTGACATTGCCGTTGCTAGTGAGGTAATTGTTCTGAATATCCGTTCTGTAATAAGCAACGTTCTCACAGATCATGGCTATCCTTGCCCTCACCACGTCCCTAGCTGATATGCGAGAGCGTGTGGCCAGAATAGTCATTGGTTCGGACACGGAGGGTAACCCCGTGACTGCTGACGACCTTGGAGTGACAGATGCGCTGACGGTTTGTACTCGTTTCCTTGAAAGTGCTGAGTACACATCCTTACAAATCACCAAGAAGCTCGGCGGCTAGGGTATAGGACGATTCGCACGACCGTAATGCTTTCCACCCAGGACCATCGCCGCGCGCGACACACCCTGCGGCGTCTTTTGCCTAAGCAAAACAGGGGAAGGAAAGATTCGCGGCGTGCATTACATGTTGAAGCAAGTCAAAATCAGGGTGACGCTGGAGACCGCCCGTGCGAAAAGACCGTCTCCCTCGGCGCTATCTTATGTGAGAGGGCGCTGCGCGCAATGGAGTCTATCGCATTTGAGAATACAATACCGCTCACATTTTTTGAAAAATAGACGCGAGTGTATGGATATGTATGGACATGTACGGACATGTCCATACATGCATGGACATGTCCGTACATGTCCGTACATGTCCGTACATGTCCATACATTCGCGTCTATTTTTCAAAAAATGTGAGCGCTGTTGTATATAACTACTAGGTTCTAATGCGCGACACCGTACGCCCGAATTTGATGCAATCTCTGGAAGGGACACCAGTGTTCGTACATGCTGGACCATTTGCTAATATCGCACATGGACAAAGTAGCATACTTGCGGACAGGGTTCGTTATTCATTTTTTCAGAGTGAAGGCTATCACTCATTTCCTCTCATTATTGGCAATGATGTTGTGTTTTGTTTCGAGGTGGCACTCAAGCTTGTTGGTGAGGACGGTTACGTGATTACTGAGGCGGGATTTGGTGCAGACATTGGTATGGAGAAGTTTTTCGACATTAAATGCAGGTGATTCATTGCTCTACTAACCACCTACAGCAAGATTATTTTCACTCAGATATTCTGGTTTGAAGCCTTCGGCAGCTGTGATAGTTGCCACCGTGAGAGCTTTGAAAATGCATGGCGGCGGCCCACCGGTGATTGCCGGGGCTCCACTAAAACACGAATACTTGGACGAAAACTTAGAGCTGGTTGCAGGAGGATGTGATTCAAATCTCAGGAAGCAGGTTCCAATGTTATATTCAATATATTGGGCACTGCAGTAAGACCTTTACAGATTGAAAATGCGAACAAGTTCGGCATTCCAGTGCTTGTTTGCGTCAATAAGTTTGCGACAGATACAGGCAAAGAGTTGGATATGGTCATAGACAAGGTAACATGGTAATATTCATCTCATATTACCTAACATTATGCTTTTCAGTCTCTGTCTCATGGTGCTGCAAAAGCGGTGGTATCATCGCACTGGTCTTATGGAAGCGACGGAGCAGTACAGCTCGCCCAAGCTTTAGTGGACATAACATCTGGGCCGAAGCCAGACTTCAGGTAACTTCAGCTGGTTTAGGTAGTGCGCCAACTTGATATTTTTCAGATTCCTCTACCCGCTGGACCTATCCCTGAAAGAAAAAATAGCTACTATTGCTCGCGAGATCTACGGAGCAGACGGAATCGAGCTATCCGATGAAGCGCAGGATGTTGGTGAAGCATTCAACATAACTAACATTTGCATAAGCATCACGATGAAATGGCCATTAAAGTGAAATCCGCGGTTCCTTCTTCCATCCACCCACAACACCCATCAAATTCCGTTCTTAGTCAACGAAAAATTTGTTGGATAAAGTCAAATTTGTTTTTTTTTTCATTTCAGCCGACTTTTTATATGCCGAAATCACAGTGAGGTACACTCTTCATTGACTGAGCGTACTTTGTCTATCCACTGTCCACAATTTACAATTTGCAGAAAAAAGGTTATTTCAGAAAATAGAGCGGTACACACGGCAAGGGTTCGGAAAGTTACCCATCTGCATGGCAAAAACCCATCTATCGCTTTCGCATGACCCCACGAAAAAGGGAGCCCCAACAGGTTAGTCTTGTGTGCTTTTTCTGGCACTGTGTACAGTACAAATCTATTACGACCAAATAAATTAAAAAAGAACTTCCCACGTCTAGGTTTTACTCTGCCAATACGTGACGTTCGGGCTTCAGTTGGTGCTGGTTTCATATATCCGCTTGTCGGTGAGATGACTACAATGCCAGGACTCAGCACTCGACCTTGTTTTTTCGACATCACCATTGATCCAGAAACGGAACAAATTGATGGGCTATTCTGAGCACACGTTCAATGAGTTTCAGCATGGTTTCTAACCTTATTATCTATTTGTGTAGAAATTTGGGCTGATTCTACTCAGCTGGCTTCATATTGGAGCTTTTATATCTAGTTCATGTAGTTGCCAATGTATTTCATTATTTTCAGTGGTCTGATACAGTATTACTACTAGTTGGTTGTAATTACGAATTCTTCCACTAGACAAGACATCAATGCAATTTTTCGATATCTCGAGGTACAGCACAAAAATCAAACAACATTAGGTTGATGCGTAATTACTGCATGTTACTTATTCTTCAGTGGCAGAAAAGATATAAAAGTCTTTGAAACACACCGTTCGATAGAGCGAAACAAGCCCTATGAGATGGTGTTCAAACAATCTTAAGGTTGTTTCATGCTGCCGCATTGACCGTAGCAGACTGCAGCTAACCGTATTGACCGCTGCGGCCGCAGCGGCCGTAGCATGTACGCGTAAGAAAAAAGAAATTTTTGACTGAAGTGGAAGAAATCGGAAATTTTGATTTTCTTAGGCGTCAGTCAAGGTGTCTTGGCCGTTACCGAGATCGTTCTTTCTTTTTACGTAAACATGCTGCGGCCGCTGTAGTCTGCTGCGGTCAGTGCGGCAGTTGAAACAACCTCTAGGAAGACTGATACATGAAAAGTCAGAAAAAAATGAAAATTTCTGAATTCCTAGAAACTGGATATCTGTTCACAAAAGTCGTACAAACCTCAAACTTGCACATGAAAACTACTTGTCACATCAGCTATGCATATGTGCACTTGCGCTGTATTTTGTCCGTGGCTAGAAGGTAAGAAATTTGATTCGGCAGGTTGTAGCAAATCAATACTGGACTGTTCCGACATAGATAAATTCTTACTACGAACCTTTGTCCCACTTTTCGCAGAGTATGTCGATCAGAGTTAGCCCTTATTTTGTCGCGACGGGATACTCATCAGCCGGTGTCTTGCATTCTCTCTCTAGTTGGGAGCCGCTGGCAATGGAATGGGGGACAGAGTGACCTTCGCGGCGCCGCGCCCAGAATGGTATCGAACCATTGTCCTTGCCGAGACCACGCAGCTAGAATGCGAGGCGTTAGACCATCTCTGCCCTGTCGAGAAATGTCGAATCTAATATAAAAAGCCCGAAAAAGGTGATATTTTCAAAGTTTCCGCTTTTATTTATTTCTCAATTCTCATAATACGAAAAAAATACTGCAATTGTACATGTAAATATCTTATGTGTACAATATATGGTTACGGAAGTCTATTTTTTGAGCCTTAGAAATTTTCTGGATTTTTCCCGCAAACTTTACGTACAGGGCTTATCAAACGCAGTGTCGCTTGCATCGGCATCTCCACCAGAGGTGCGATAGTGGGAGCCGAGTCTCCGCCTACCTTCACTTCTGAGCTGGTACAGGGAGCCCACCTTCACTTTTGGTTTTGGAATTTTTTTTTGCTGAAGCCGAAAAAAATAAGCAAAATGAACGCAAAAGAAAGTATTGAGAGCATATTTCTATGTAGTTCACTTTTAGAAACTCGCCATCGCCTATTTCGAGCACCTGAAGGCCATCATTGACATGGACGCATCTACGCCTCAGCACTCCACGGTTATGGAGAGCAAAGCTTCTGATGACTTCGGTTAATTGGAGATACCCAACGGTCCTCTTTAGGGCGAACGACTGTGATCCAACGATCACTTTCAGGGCCACAAATACTATAAGCACATCTGCATAAAAATTTGAAATAAACGTGTTAATCAAATGGTGCATTTGTCAGCAAAAATCAGCTAGACTTTACGTATTTCACTGAGTAAATTTTGTTATAATGCTGCGAAGAAAGTAGGTCGATCCAGGCAGTAACCACCGAGAACCAGAATTTCAAATAATAAAATAGCGAAAAATCATGCGAAGTTTCCATTGTTATAAATCTGGTGGTTGAAGATGCCAGCAGGGACTTCATAGCTTTTGAAGGGTAACTGTTGTTCTGCCAGAGAGTGAAGGAATCAGGTCGATTTGAGCAGTGGCCACCGAGAACGAGAATTTAAAAAAAAATAAAGCGATTTTAGGTTGCTTATGGTTAGTGACAGTTAGACGTTTAAACCCTTATAAATCTGGAATGTGAAGATGTGCAATGTTGCGACTTCGAAGGTTTTGTAGAGTAAGGTTTGCACTATCAGATTATGTCTTAGACGTACCCACCCATTGAAACGCGCAGCTCTTGAAGAGGAGAATCTAACCTACGAAGTCGCAACTAACAAGGAGAGGATACTTAGTCGAAAGCACCAATCCAGATGGGACATCTATCGCCTTAAAGCGCTTAAAAAGCGGATTCCAAATCTGCAGTTTTCAGCTGCGGAGCGATTTTGTAGAGGGAGTTATGAGGGGTGTTTCCTCTGGGTTGAGGCGCCCTCCACCAGGTGTCCTCCTACCTATGAGCACTGTAGAGGAGTATCAGCTGGTGGCAACTGACCTAGTGGTAAGTGATGTGCTTGATAAAGAGAGTGCCAAAGCTTTGATCTCCTTCGCATGCTAAATTGAACTTCTAAATGGCTTTAGAGCCCGAAAGCATGACACTTGTGATGATATTGATACTAATTGAAGTTATAAGTGTTGAAAAAAACCAAAGTAATATGAGTATTTGTAATCTTTGCTGTAATCTTCATTCAAGTTACTTACCATTAGGTCAGTTGCCATCAGCTGATACTCCTCTACAGTGCTTACAGATAAGGGGAGACCGCTGGAATGCGTCCAAACCCCCAGAGGAAAACACACTTCATAACTCCTTCTACAAAACGCTCCGCAGCTAAAAACTGCAGATTTGAAATCAGCGTTTAAAGCGCTTCAAGATGATATATGTCTCATCTGAATTGGTGCTTTCGGCTAAGTATCCTCTCCTTGTAAGAACTTAGAGTACCGCAGGAAATTGACTGACTTAGTTGTCTGCTTCCGAGTATTACGTAAAGAACTTACGAGGAAGGTACTTTCAATGGCTGAGGCCTTTTGATATGAGATGCATATCTTCTGAAGCAGCTTCGAACGCTGATTCTAAATCTGCTATCCTTGTCTGCGGAGCGCTCTAAGAGAGTTATGGAAGCCTGAAAGTCCTTTTTTGGGGGCGATTGAGTTAAAGAGCGCTGCTATGTGCGTTGGTGGTGCAGTGGTCAGTGGTTAGTTGTTGGCATTGAAGGAGAAAGGTCGATGGTTCAAATTCAGTGCAGAGCGTACCATTTTGCATCGAATGTGAGTGCAAAAACCACTGTAATTCGTGCAGACACTTGCTGTATTGCCCTTGGCAAATGTGACCTAGGGAAAAAATTTTCTGGCAGAACCAAATTTTCTGACATCCATTATATACAGTTAAATTCTGAGGATCAATATTAGGTTGGCTCGAAAGTTCTGGGACATCTTCGAACTAGATCTGCTGTTTCTTGAAACCTAATGCATATACATCAGATTGAAGTACCATTCGTTAGAACAAAGCAAGCTCTACAAGATGCCATGCGAAAGTTCGTATCATCTTCGACCCACTCTAAGTTTGCACCCAAAACTTAAGTCGTACCGAAATTCAAAAAATCGCGAAAAATTCATATCCTTTGTTCAAACAAATCCTACGGATCTCCGACTTGCTCACAAAAATTGCACACCACATCAGACACTCATATGCACCATTCCTATATTTTTTCCTCATCTGGAAATCGAGAAAACGAAAATTTTCGTGCTTCTATAGAAACGAAGCTGTGCTGTTTCCACCCATGCAATTGGATAGTACAAGCCCTTAGAAGTATAACCGTAAATTTTCAGCTTTCCGTAAGCCCTAGATGTCGAAAAAAATTCTTTTAGCATGGAACGCCCGAGTGAGGAGAGCTCATTCCGGTTATTTCCGGGAACTAGGGCCTGTAGAAAGCTGAAAATTTACTATTATACTTCTAAGGACTTGTATCATTCAATTACATGAATGGAAACAGCACAGCTTCATTTTTATATAAATACGAAAATTTCCGTTTTCTCGATTTCCAGATGAGGAAAAAAACAAGAACGGTGCATATGAATGTCCGATGTGGTGTGCTATTTTTGTGTGCAAGTCGGAGATTCGTAGGATTGGACAAAGACATGAATTTTTCGCGATTTTTTGAATTTTGGCACGACTCAAATTTTGGGTGCAAACTTAGAGTGGTCGAAGATGGTATGAACTTTCGCATACCATCTTGTAGAGCTTGCTTTGATCTATCGAATGGTGCCTCAATCTGATGCACATGCATTAGGTTTCAAAAATAGCAAATCTAGTTCGAAAATGTCCCAGAACTTTCGAGCCAACCTAATAGAACATGTACAAAATTTGAAAATTTTCTGCATAGACTACTAATGCTTTTTAAACAACTTGAAGATTTAGACTATACCCAAAATATAATCATCAATGCTTTTATGAAATGCTTCACATTCAATAAATGTATTTCTTATAAACATATAAAACTTCAGTCTTTCAAAAATGTGAAACATTTTGTTAAATTCGTAATTGATAGACTAGATCATTGCTAATCTTTTGATCTTTTGCCCTACCAAACTGGTATAAATTTCCGGCATTATACCACTATTGTTAGTTGACCACTCTTCCCTACTGAAGAGCCTCGGGAGTGGTTGTCACTTTTTGTATTCCTGTTAGAGGTAGGGGCAAACAGGCTTAATAGTAACCCTTTATTATTTATTTATACATAAACATGATGCAACCATGGTGGGAAAGGCAACAATAACAAAGGAGAATAAGTAAAGTAAAGTCGAGCCTGGTGCTTAACAGGCTCCTTTACGCGATGTTCAAAATAAATATGCTGCATATCCCTTGCACTGCTAGTGTTTTTCCACAACCGCCAGCCGGCATTAGGACCCGCCCAAAATAAGAGCCCGGTCCAGGGCCCGCCACCGATGGTTTGGGGTCAAACTGGACTTCGTTTTTGGAGTTAGAAGCAACGGAAACATCGTTTTTATGAGGTCATGGAGGAAGCGCCAAAAACACGACGAACATGTCAGGTTTCACGAGTTGAACGTGTTCTTTCGCAAGCGCGCGAATTTCAATTGCAAGGTTCAAACAAACAAATGGCATATTTACATCGCACAAACAACCACATGGCTCCGAATTTGGGCTATGTGTACACAATATTACTCCAAACTATGTTATGTAAAAAGTTCCCAAAACTTATGTGTCCTAATAGCCGTTCTCGAATTTGTTGGTTTCTAGACCAACTACCAAA